TTCATATTTGTTGTCTGTACTTCCCATGTACCTCTCTATGTGTTTCTCATCCTCAATGCTGCCATATTGGTCACTCACATTTGGTACATTGCCCTTCTCTTCACCCAAATCAATATTTATCTCTATCTGATTCCTTTGATTCTTTGACAGACTTGTGATACATTCAGAATGATAACTTTGATCATTAGAGCCAAACCCGTGAGTACACATATCCCCTAGGGTGAGTTCAAACAGAAGATTCCCTTTTGCTCTTGATTATGACCCAGGAAGAAAACCAGGGACTCAGTGGAATTTTCATCCATTTTAAATATCAGAATCCTGCTTTCAAATCATACCTTCTGTAAATGCTCAATATACAATCCAGACAAAAGTGGTATTTTATTAGTACAAATCTGTAAGTTCAAAAGTTTATTTGATAGCAAACCAATTGTTGAGCACAAGAGATAAAGACAAAACCTTTAACCCTGGTGTTGTTAAACATGATAGATACTGTTTCATATTAGCCTAAGTATCCACAATATTTAAATTAGCAGCTGCTCCAGGGTCCACAGAAAATGGTAAAAAAAACATTGTCAAGGGCTGACATATTTCAGGGTGTCTGCAAGTAATTCTCAATAGGTTCTACTACACACACACATATATGTGTGTGTATATGTATACATATACACACACATATATACATATGTATATAAACACACTATGTGTATATGTGTATTATATATATGTAAATATATATTATTTATTGAGGGCTAAATACATACTTACCACCTATCTTTCCGCTTCTCCTACTGTGGTGGCTTGTATGTTGCTGTGATACTGGGCGCCATGCCACAAGTATTTCAAATACCAGCAATTCCACTGGTGGTGGAGAGATTTCAGTGGAACTTCTAGACTAAGATAAATATATATATGATCACATACACACAGAGAGAATGCAAATATAACAAAATGCTAATAATTGGTGGATGTGGGTGAAGAGTATCTGAGTGTCCATTGTTCTATTCTTTCAACTTTTCTGTAGGTTTGAAATTTTTCAAAATAGCTGCTTAAGATACACTGCTAAATTGGA